TGAGGTGTGCCCCCCACCTTTTTTTTTAACTTTTTTGCATTTCAATTTTCAAATAAAAAATAAAAAAAAATACCGGTACCGGAACCGGACCGGTACCGCCGGTACCGGTACCAAAAAATAGGTACCAAAACCGGTACCGAAAGTGGCGGTACCGGTACCGGTTCCCGGAAACCGTGACACGGGGACCTTGCCGGTGACGGTGGCGGGTACCGGCGGTACCGTTGCCGGTGACGGTACCGTACCGGTACCGTGTCCACCCCTACATGTACCCCAAAAATTTGTAGCTATTTGTACACTAAAAGGATGCACCAACATTTTGATAGTTCACATTGACATAAAGTGTTGGTGCGTTAACAAAAATTTATACTAACACAAAGTGTTGGTGAGTTAACAAAAATTAGCATTACATAGTGTACAAAATGGGATACAAATATTTGATATATAAATAGCTTTATCCTTTCCATTATCCAACCTAAATTTTTTCAAATTGTATCCAAAAAAATGTATTAACATTTTAACTCTTCACATCGAAACAAAATGTTAGTTTACTTAAAAAAAATTGCATTGACATTTTTTTGTTAATATAAACTACTCCCTCCGTCCCTCTAAGATGTTCTCATTTTGACTTTTGGTGGTTTTTAAGGAGAGTTCAAAAAAGGTGAAAGTTTACCATAATACCCTTAATGAAAAATGGGTGGAGTGTATTAAATGAGGTGGGTGAGGTGTAATAAATAAAGTAAGTGGGGGTAGTTGTGGTATTTTAGTTGTTAAAAAATGAAATGAGAAGATCTATTGTGGACAAAGAAAAAGAGCTATTGAGAAGATTTATGAGGGGCGGAGGGAGTATTACACTAGAATTACACTAGCATAAAAATATCGGTGAATACCTTTGGGGTACAAAATAAGGCACAAGTTTCCATCCAAAGCGTGGACACTGCCGGTGGTAGGGTTGGCATTTGTTACCTCTAGAGTCTAGACAAACAAAGCGCTGATATTATATTAAGTCAAATTAAAAAATTGAATACAATCATTTATTTAATTTAATTAAGATTTATATACGTTATTTTTTGTTTCATTTAAATTGTTTGAACAACGTGCAAATTTCATTTTTTCAAAATGATTATATCTAAAAACTGATATGAAATTAAAACTATAAATTAATAGTTAAAAACAATATAAAAAATTTTACAAAATAACATGCAATGAAAATATTTTATTTTATAAAATGACGAATGAAAACACAAGAATAAACAAAAGTATCAAAGTAATTACCCCAATGTCCATGCATACATAACATTCTTTCTCTCACGTGAGAGCTTGAGTTCGAGTCACTCTAGAGGTGAAAATGGTAGATTTTGTTATTTTCCATAAGGTAGTGTTTGGCAACTAGTATTTCATTTCAATTCATGCATTTTAATTTAATTTCAAATGACAAGGAGAGATGCATGGATTTCAAATTAAGCTTTGTTATGAATGACAAGGAGAGATGCTTGAGTTCGAGTCACTCTAGAGGTGAAAATGGTAGATTTTGTTATTTTCCATAAGGTAGTGTTTGGCAACTAGTATTTCATTTCAATTCATGCATTTTAATTTAATTTCAAATGACAAGGAGAGATGCATGGATTTCAAATTAAGCTTTGTTATGAATGAGAGGAATTTGACTCAAATCCAAATTCAAAATTTTTGAATTTCCCAAACATGGAATTTGAGTCAAATCCGGATTTGAAATCCAAATTTATATTTCCAAACATGCCATTACCTTTAGCCCTTAACAAAAACTTGTATTTTAATACCAGATTGGAACTTAATATATAAAAAAATTTGTAAAATAAGTAGAAAAATGTACTCAGGGTATGTTTTTATTTGATTTTACCGGTCACCATTGATAAGCGATAACTACTAACTACTATTGAATAATGAAATAATTGTATTATTCAAGAAATAATTAATGAAATACATGAGAGAGTATATATAGTGGGGAGTAGGGGTGTACACCGGTCTAGAACCGGACCAGAACCAGAAAAACTAGAAACCCGGAATCCCCTAAAGCATAGGACCGGAAACCAGACCGGTTTTTTCCGGTCCGGTCCGGGTAAAAACCGGAAAACTCGGAATTTATTTTTTCTAATTCTTTTTGTCTATTTTTTAAACTTGTTTTTCAAATTTGTAGCTTGATTTGAATTGATTTCAACACTACATTTAATTTTTATATCCATTGGGTGTGTTTCAAGAAATTATATTAATATAAAATATAAAATATCTTTATCAACAATATAATAGGTGTAAAATGACTTTTATACTTCCGTTAGTTTTGAAATTTCAAAAATATTATAAAGTTATACTTTAAATTATTTTGGTTTAAGCAAGTCTATTTTATATGTCAAAGTATTTAATACTTTAAATCGAAAGATTCTACTTCAATTTTTGGAAAATAATTTTAGTTTTTTATAATTATGGATATTCTTGGGTAAATGTCTATGAAATGAATTAAATAAGACAAATTACATTTAAAAAATTATGCTTCATATTAAAGTAAGAAAAACCAATGAAAACGTACAATTGTATTTATAATTATATGTAAACTCTGTATTATAAGTATTAATTTTTTTTAAAAAATAGACAATCCGGTCTTACTGGTCCGACCCGAAAACGATCCGGTCTTGGACCGGAATTTTACCGGTCCAAAATCATTAGACCGGAGACCGGTCCTGAATTTTACCGATCTAGCCCGGAACCAATTTTTCTGGTCCAGTCCAGTCCGTTTCCGGTCCGACCCGGATTTTGTACATCCCTAGTGGGGAGTATAACACCAACTAGAAATAAGAATCAATAATAGAAGCTGACTAAAATACAAATTCTATCATAACTAATAAAACCATAATCTTTATTACTATAATTGTCTAACACCCCCCTCAAGATGAACTCACGTCACGAGCGAAAGCTTGGAAACTAGAATTTAGAATCGCGGAGAAGATAGCACCTTCATGAGTAAATCTCCAAGAAGTAGTTGGGCGGAAATTTGTTGTGTGAATTAGAATAAGCTTGAGAGTGCATGCGTTGAATTGTTTTCCTAGTGGAGAGTGTTAGCGATGGAAGCAATGACAAACAATTTAATTTTTTTTTTCTTTTTAGCTCTTCTCTACTTTTCTATCGCTTTTCATGCTTTCGAATTTTAGAAGAAACACAGACAAATGCATTTTTACCAGAGCCGGCCCAATAGGGGGACAAAGACACAAAGTGTCTGTCCGGGCCGGGCCCAATAATTTCAGGGGCACAAAATTCTTTTTTAAGTATTATATATATAAGCCCATTTCTTTTTAGGCCCAGTCCACCCCTCACTTACTCTACCCCTTAGCCTAGTCCACCCACCCACCTAGTCACCCGTAGCCAAGAAAAAAAACCAACTGCCGAACAGGAAAAGAAAGGACCGGATTACCAGAAGAGCCAATGGCCGAACGCCCGAACAAAGGACGCCGCCTCCAATAGAGGGCGCCGTCATCACCCGCCGGACGCCACCCTCCACGGGTATTCCATATTCAATTATTCATAGCTTTCCAATTTTGTAATTTTTATTTTTTAAATCTTAATTTTCTTTCATTGTTTCATTTTTTAAATTTGAAGTCTAGGGTTAATTATTAGTTTTTATTTTGAAATCTTTTCTAATTTCATTCTTTGAAATAGAATGAATTAATGGTTCTATATGTTATTTATTTGATTTGGATGAATTGATTTGAATTTTTTATTTATGATATATTTATATAAAAAATTGAAAACCGAAAAAAAAATTAACAATTGATAAATTGACGAATTGATATGAATTTATGATTTATAAAAAAAAATTAAAACTGAAAAAGAAAAAAACGATTAAAAAAGAAAAATTGACGAATTGATATTAATTTATGATATATTTATTTATTTGCTTACTTTTCAATTTTTCATACTTGATTTTACTAAGTAGTAGAATTAATAAATTTGGATTTTATTTCAAAAATAATTCAATAGCGAGGGCCTTTTTCTGTTTTGGCCTAGGCACATGAATTCTCAGGACCGACCCTGATTTTTACAGCTCTTCGATCACGCACAAATTTTTTTAGAGAAGGAGAGAGGGATAAAAGACGCCAGCTGTTGGGCACGTTCGTCGAGATCGGTGGTAATTTTTAAGCACGCACATCGTTTTAAAAAGAAAAGAGGGATAATGGACGATAGCTGTTAGACACGCTAATCGAGATTAGTGACAACTGTTTGACACGCCCATGAATTATTTTATTAGAAAGAGAGAGGGATAAAGGGCGACGATGTCATGATCTATCACGGTTGATTGTCGATGAAGAAGACCCACGGTGGCGCATGATCGTAGAAGAAGGGAGGCTAGGTGTTAAATATAATATTTATTATATTTAATTATATGTATATATTAATTATTATTTACTCTAGAATTCTCTAGAGAAACTCTTGGCCTAACCTAAACTCTTGGCCTAACCTTTACACATGTATAAATACTCTTGTATACACATACCAATGGCATTAAGAAATAGAAATATTCTTATCATTTTACATGGTATCGGAGCCAAAACCCGAACTCTAACCCTTCCTCCTAGTTCGGCTGTCGGCTGTCTCCCTCCCCCGTTCTACCAACTCTGATTATCTTCTTCGGTAGTTCGTTCCTCTCTTGACATGGCTTCCGATAACTCCTCTACCACTACTTCTACCTCCACAACATCGAATTCTCCTCATCTTGCCCTTACAACCATCTCAAATGTCAAGCTTCATATCCCCATTAAACTTAGCATCTCGGCCCCCAACTACAAAAAATGGAGCAGTCTTTTTCTTCTTCTTGTGCGATGTTTCAACCTCCAAGGTTTCCTTACCGGCGAGACAAAACCCTCCGGTGACAATGACACGGAATGGGTCCAATTTGATGCCCTTCTTCAAGGGCGGATCCTTTCGACGGTCACCGATGAAGTGTCCAATCTCATTATTGCATCTAATGACACCGTCGCCGACTTATGGAAAGCAATTCACGATCTCTTTCACGACAACAAGAACGCAAGAGCGATGCAACTTGAGCATCAATTTTGCACTACCGTCAAAGGCACAAAATCGATGGTTGATTATTGTCAAACGCTCAAAAATCTGGCCGATTGTTTAGACGACGTTGATGCACCCGNCCCCCCCCCCCCCGTCGTTTTTGGAGGCCCGGTCAGCCCTGCTTCTCTTGGACCAGCAGCGCAGCTCCTCGACCGGCGGAGACCCTAGCACGGCTCTACTGGCCGCTGGGAGGATGAACATGTCGCAGCCTCCGCCAGTCCCTGGCGGTGGCGGTGGCTTCTACAGATCTCAATAGCAGGGCGCCGGCGCCGGCGGTCCCTCTGCATCACAACATCGGCAGCAGCGACAGCAGGGCGGCGGTGGTGGCAGTGGATGCTTCGGCGGAGGTCGGCAGTAGGGCAGCGGAAGAGGCAGAACCGGGCAAGGAAGAAACGGGCGAAATCAGCAGCTGGGCAATTTCCCTTCTCCGTCTTTTTCACCTGGTGGGCAATTTTACTATGGGCCTGGTATTTTGGGCCTACGGCCCAATAACCCTCCTACTAATTTTCCATCTCCATTTTATGCCCAAGCCCATTTTGCTCACCCTTACCCACACACCCCCTTCCCCTACCCGTACTACCCCCCACCTGCCGGGACCCACGACCCTAGCACATACCTTCGACACCATGACCCTTCGTGAACCCACTTGGTACATGGACACGGGAGCCTCGCACCACATTGCTTCCGACTCAGGTACTATTTCCAATGTTTTTAATTCAAGTATTTATTCACCATCTTACATCACTGTCGGTAATGGTTCTAAAGTGCACACCACTGCGGTCGGTAAACATTTTTTTAATACCTCTCCCCCCTCTCCCTAAATAATGTTTTTATCTCCCCTCATATTATTCATAACCTTATTTCTATACGTCGATTTACCCGTGACAATAATTGTTCCATTGAATTTGACCCCCATGGCTTTTCTGTGAAGGACCTTCGGACGAGAACCGTGATACATCGGTCCAGTAATGACGGCCCACTATACACCTTCAACCCTCTGGATGCCCAAGCCCACGCTGCCACTATTGATCTTGATACATGGCATCGCCGACTTGGTCACCCTAGCTCTGTTGTTCTCCATGGGGTCTCAAGTCCTTTATTATCTTTTTCAAATAAATGTCGAAAGTTTAGTTTATGCCATGCATGTCAATTAGGGAAACATGTTCGTCTTCCCTTTACTTTATCCACCCGTAATTCTACTTTCCTTTTTGAATACTTCACACTGATTTATGGCAATCCCCTGTTCCCAGTATTACAGGTTTTAAATTTTACATGTTACTCTTGGATGACTACTCTCATTATTTATGGGTCTTTCCTCTACGACACAAATCTGATGCTTACTCACACTTAACCAAATTTGTTGCTTTTGTTAAAAATCAATTTAATTTTACTATTAAAGCCGTGCAATGTGACAATGGAACGGAATATCGAAAGTCTCCCCTTGTGTCAGTTTTTGACTCTTTGGGAATAGTGTTCCGTTTCTCTTGTCCTCACACTAGTCAGCAAAATGGCCGAGCCGAGCGCACCATTCGCACCATCAACAATACCGTTCGGACTCTCTTGTTTCAGGCAAACCTTCCTCCCAACTTTTGGGTACAAGCCTTACATATGGCCACACACCTCTTTAACATACTACCCACCACCACACTTCAAAATCGTACCCCTCATGAACTTTTATATCTCAAAACTCCCACATATTCTCATCTTCGAGTTTTTGGCTGCTTATGCTACCCAAACCTAACCGCCACAGCACCCCATAAACTTTCCCCACGCTCGGCCCGGTGCATTTTCCTTGGCTACCCATCTAATCAACGTGGCTACCGGTGTCTTGACCTTTAAACTAACAAAATCATTATTTCACGACATGTCATATTCGATGAATCCACGTTCCCCTATAATCACTCACCTTCTCCTGATAATTTTGATTTCCTTGACTCCATGGAGGATGACGACTCACTCTATCACCGTCAAAACCTCACCTCTTCCCCTCTTGCATCCGTTCCCTCGGAACACGCCCAACTCCCCCCCTCACTCACAATCCAAACCCCATCCCTCTCTTCGGGCACCCACACCGAATCTAATCCAAGCTCGTTGTCCACAACCCAACAACCACATCCCTCTCTCAACACCCACCACATGGTTACACGCTCCAAAGTGGGCATCACCCGTCCAAAAACCATTCTAAATCTCAATACAAACGCCTCTAACCCCATTTCCCCCCCTACCCTCCACTTATCGCAGTGCACTAAAAGATCCTAACTGGTATGATGCTATGTGTGATGAGTATAATGCTTTAATTAAAAATAATACATGGGAACTAGTACCTCCTTCCCCTAATCAAAATGTCATCACTGGAAAATGGCTTTTTCGTCACAAATTTGGTCCCACAGGTGATCTATCCAGGCACAAGGCTCGGTGGGTGGTCCGCGGCTTCAATCAGCGTTACGGTGTTGACTATGCAGAGACTTTTAGCCCGGTGGTAAAACCTGCGACTATTCGTATAGTGCTCAGCTTGGCATTGTCCCGTGGATGGCCAATTCATCAGTTTGATGTCAAGAACACCTTCCTTCATAGAAACTTAGAGGAAACCGTTTATGCCAACTCAGCCATCTGGGTTTCAGGATCCCTCTCGACCGCATTATGTGTGCAAACTCAAGAAAGCACTTTATGGATTAAAGCAAGCACCCAGGTCATGGTATCATCGGTTTGCCACCTTCATTCAGTCGCTCGGTTTCCGAGGATGTAAAACTGACACCTCACTATCTGTCTACACTCTTGAGAGGGACACAACTTATCTTCTTCTTTATGTCGACGACATTGTTCTCACAGCTTCCTCTACCTTGCTACTTCATCGCATCACACAGCAACTCAAGGGGGAATTTGCCATGACGGACATGGGGGATATTCATTTTTTCCTCGGCATAAATGTTCAGCGGACAAAACACGACCTTTTTCTCCATCAAACTCAATTCACGCATGAGATCCTAAAGCGTGCTGGGATGCAAACATGCAAACCCATATCCACCACACCTGTTGATGCAAAAGGTAAGCTAGGGGTGGCCAGTGGCCCTCCACTGGAGGACCTGACCCTGTATCGCTCAATTGTTGGTGCTCTTCAGTATCTTACCTTTACTCGACTGGACATCACTTATGCCGTCCAGCAACTCTGTCTTCATCTTCATGATCCTCGGGTTCCCCATCTAACAGCCATGAAGCGGGTTCTCAGATATTTGCATGGGACAGCCACATACAGCATCACACTTACCCATTCTTCGACAGATGCTTTGCAGGCCTATTGAGACGCTGACTGGGCTGGATGTCCATACACTCGCCGCTCTACATCTGGCTATTGTGTATTCTTGGGTGATAATCTAGTTTCATGGTCCTCCAACCGACAAGCTACCACTTTTCGTTCTAGTGCAGAGGCTGAATACAGGGCAGTGGCAAACGCTGTAGCTGAGACTAGTTGGATAAGAAATTTGTTGGTGGAACTCCACCAACCATTACGTCGTGCCACCTTAGTCTTCTATGATAATGTGAGTGCAGTTTATCTTTCCTCTAACCCTGTTCAGCATCAAAGAACCAAACATGCGGAGGTAGACATCCACTTTGTCCGAGACAAGGTCACCTTGGGTCAGGTTCGAGTTCTACATGTTCCATCAATCCATCATCCTCACAGTATGCAGACATTTTCACAAAGAGATTACCATCTCTGCTATTTCTTGATTTTATAGACAATCTTGGAGTCTGCTCAGTACCACCTAGATAGCTGGGAGCATGTTAAATATAATATTTATTATATTTAATTATATGTATATATTAATTATTATTTACTCTAGAATTCTCTAGAGAAACTCTTGGCCTAACCTAAACTCCTGGCCTAACCTTTACACATGTATAAATACTCTTGTATACACATACCAATGACATTAAGAAATATAAATATTCTTATCATTTTACACTAGGTTTTTGAGAAGAGGTACCATAGCGAAGAGGTACCATAGCTCCGATACCATATTGAATAATGAAATAATTGCATTACTTAATAAATAATGGAATACATGGGATAATATATATAGTGGAGATTATAACCCAACCTAGAAATCAGAATCAATAATAGATGGTGACTAAAATACAAATACTATCATGACTAATATTACTATATGTTATTGTTATAATTGTCTAACAAGGCATGTTAGAATATTAGATAAAAATATAGCTCATTAAATTATGGAGTGAATTATGGAGTACGTGATGTCTTATACATAGGAAAAACTCCTAGCACAACTAGAAATAGAGAATGAAAGCTTACTAAAATACAACATTTACCATGAATAAGAATAAAAAGCTGACTAATAATCAAACACTACATACCATAAGTAATACTGTTATTATAATTATTGTTTACTCCCTCCATTTCTTAAAACATTTCATTTTTCATTTTTTATTATCCCCAAAACACTTATACTTTCTATTTAAAAACCACTTTTACCCTCACTTTTTCTTACTCTATCTATCACATCATACTTTTTCACTAATAATCTATCCATCACAGCTTACTTTTACCCATCACATCAAGGGTAAAATTTGAAAGTCAATTACAAATATACACTTCTCAAAATAGGAATCATTTTATGAAATAGAGGTAGTAATAATTACTTAAATAAGGAATAATTAAAGTTGTGTTTCGTTCGCATGATCTAATCTAACCTTTTGAAGCTCTGATCTGATCTGGTCTAATTACATCTTCTTGGATCGGATCTAATATGATTGGATCTGATCTGATTTGGTCCAATCAGATTGGATTTGATGTGATATGAATTAGATTAAAAATAAAAGTAAAAATAAATTATTATTATAATAATTATAAGAATAGTTATAATAATAATAAAAGAAATATTCATAATAATAGTAATAATAATGGCAATAATAATACTAGTAATAATAGTTATAATAATAATTGAAATAATAGTAAATATTTATAATAAAAGAAATAATAATAATATAAATAATAAAAATGATAGTAATAGTAATAATAAGAATAATAACAATAATAATAAAAATAGTAATAATAATAACTATAATAATAATAATAGAAATAATAGTAATAATAATAATAGTAATAATAATATTAATTTTAATAATAGTAATAATTATAATAACAATAGTAATATTAACTATAGTCATAATAATAGTAATAGTAATTATAATTATAGTAATAATAATAATAATAATAATAATAGAAATAATAATAATAATATAATAAATAGTAATAGTAATAATAACAATAGTAATAATCAATATAATAATAATAGTAATAGTAATGATAATGATAATAATAATAATAATAATAATAGTAATAATAATAGTAGTAATAATGATTATAATCATAATATTAATAGGAATAGTAATAATAATAATAATGGTAATAAAAATAGTAATAAAAATAATATTATAAATTATGATTTTGTCTGGTATGATCTAATCTGATTGGATTGGATTTGATTGGATCTGATTTTAGAAATCATCCTAAATATGACTAAAACATAGAGAAAAGTACCAAAATAGGACTTTCATGTTTTTTTTCCGGGGAATAGGACTTTGCACTGTGGTAATGTGACTTTGCATTGTGGTAATGTGACAGTGTACATGTGCAAATTACTATACTTTTTTGGTAATGTATATGACCATGTTTGGTAATGTAAGTCCTATTTTGGGAATAAAAACATGGAAGTCCTATTTTGGTATATTTTCAATGTTTTAGTCCTACTTTGGTATTTCTCCCATTTGATTTTAATAAAAACAAGTAATAAATAGAAAAAATAAGGTTAAACAGAACGGAACCTAAATTACCTTTGCACCTCCTTCGAAAAAAGGAAAAAAAGTAAAGAAAAATACATTTGCTCCGTTTCAACTTCCCCGCACGTAGAAAATACTACCCCCGTCCCATTGTCTTTGTCCACTTTTGTCTTTTGGAACTGTTTATCTAAGCACTTTGACTCATCAAATTCTTTCAATGTATAAGCCTAAAAATAGTCATGTGTGATCTTGTTTGATTCATCTTAACATATAGATTATTAATATATAATTTTTATAATTTTTTAATATACAAATTACAAGATAAAATGGATTAAAGACGTGCATTGGATGGTGTGCCAAAAGGTAAGTGGACAAAGACAGTGGGAGGGGAGAAAGTACTCCGTAGTATTATGGGAGTAATCATTTTTTACCTTGGGGTGAAATAATCTTCTTCGATGAAATCTAAACAATAAATGCAATAGATACTCCACGCTTGCTTTGCTGGGAAAAAGGCAACCATGCTGAGGTATTTATTTATTTTTACAGCTTATGTGGTAGTGCTTTTTTTTCTTCCTTTTCTTTGAGAACAATTCAAAAATGAGTTTAGTTATCGTGTTTGACAATTCTAAAAATAATGATTAGTATTTTACAATTTTTAGCTGGCTGAAATGGAGACAGAGCAAAAAAATCAAAGAATAATATTCCGTATCTATAACACATACTCTGTGGGTTCCAAAAAATGTCACATTTCAATATTTAAAAATCATGAAAACTTTATTTATAAATACCTTTTCATCGACCATTCGATAAAATAACAATTTCTCATCACCTTTTGTTTTAAAAAACTTTTGATGTAGGACCAGAACTAGAAAAATTGGAAAAACGGAATTGGGTAAAGGGTAGGATTCGAACCTAGACGGATAATTTAACTCGTTTTATGATGATGTAGCTTGATTCAATCTTATTTTTATTTTTTTCAATCCGTTGATCATGTTTCAAGAAATAGTATCAACATACAAATATTTAATGAATAATATAATCAATATGAACTATATTATTTCATACTCCCTCCGTCCAACAATAAAGTTCCCACTTTCCTTTTTGGGATGTCCACAATTAATGTTCCCATTTCTATTTTAGGCAATAAATCTAAAGTGAAAAGTCTTTTATACCCCTCTCACTTTCACTCGCATCACATACCCCACTACCCACCTTAATTAATTCAACCCCCCACATTAAACCCCACCCACTCACATCCACTCATTATTCTATCTCCTCGTTTTCTCCTCCAACCAGCTCATTCATTTTTCTCTCGTTCATTCTCTTAGATCCAGATCTTGGATCTCTAATCTTCGTCCTCCCAACTCTTAAGTTGCTCTCTCCTGTACCCAATTCGTATGGAGTCTGAAGATTATCCTCTTGTTTCTGTAGTCTCGGACACTCCTATCGTCTGCGCCAGTGATGGGAATCAGGAGATCGAGCAACTTTCCCCAAATTGCCATGGCGATGAAGGTGAGATTGTGGCAGCCGTGGTGCCTGATTCCGAGGAAGAAGACGAACCATCTGAAGCTTTGATGGCCCCAAGCTCTGGGTTCGTGTGTGTTAGAAATCATGCATGTGACAGCTTCCTAAAGCTTATGTTCCCAGGCTTGGATTCACCCAAGTATGAATATCTTTTCCCAATTTACTGCTTGTCTTAACATGTGTTGCTGTTCTGAGCATGCTCCGATGAAGTGTTGTTGTTTACTCTGGAGTATGTTGTTAAATTGTGCACTTCTGTTGTATCTTACCCCTTCTCAATTACCTCTGAGCAAGCTGTGATGAAAAATCTGAGCAAGCTGTGATGAGGTTTCTTATTTCTTGTGTGAAATTTGGCACTTGTGCTATACTCTGCATATGTGTGTGCACCTCTGTAGTGTGTGTATCCAGTACTCTTAATTAACTCTGAGTCTGCTGTGATGAGGTATCTAAGCATACAATGATGAGGTTTCTCATCCCGTTACCTCTGATCTTGCTGTGATGAGGTTTCTCGTCCCGTTGTAACTTAGCTATGTGTGTGCACCTTTGCAGTGCGTGTGCATTGTGTTTCTGTGTGTACTCCTGTTGTACCCTACATGTGTTGCACCTCTGCATTGTTTGTGTGTGCACAACTTCCCATTACCCCTGAGCATGATGTGATGAGGTTTTAGAGTTTAAAATTGTACACTTATGTGTGTCTGTTCATGTATAACTGCAATGATGAAGAATATTTAGTCCATATTCATATTGGAATACAATTTGCATGAATGGTTGCTGTTGCTGTTCCTAAATGCTTTTATCCAAAAACCCAAAATTCAAAAACCCAAAAACCAAAAGCATAATACAACCACACACATACATAAACAAAAAACCCAAACACCACCAAGTACTACAAGGTGTTAGTTCATTCTGGAAGAATGAACCCTTCATCTTCTTCAAGAATGAACTGACCCAAAAGATCTTCATGTGTCTCAACCGCATCTACTGGTGCTTCATTCTGCCCATTAAGGCAATGTCCCCTCCCTGTACATACCATCCTTTCCCATGTGTGGAACCTTGTAGTTGTAACCCCCATCCACTTTCATTATCTCTTCCATAACTTGTTGATAGGTCAGCCACACTTTGTTTAATGTATGAGGTGAGAACTGATCATATGCATCTTGTACTGCATTCATCAACTCTGTGACATTACTGGGAGCTGCTTGATCCTTCAATGACTGGATAGCTCTAAAAAACCTAAATCTAAAATGTTTAGGTCTGGAGAATTAGGGGGCTGATTTCTTAGGGAAATCTGGAAACCATTTGTTGTGTTTGCCATGACATAGTCTATGTCATTCCCAAGAATGTGTGGCCTAGCATTATCTTGCTGGATAACAATTTCTTTGCTCATGAAATGTGGCCACTTATCTTGGATGGCAGGTATAACCTGGTGCAGCAACATGTTTTTAAACACTTCTTTTGTTACACTAGACACTGGTTTGGTTTCCAGAGAACCTGCCTCCCTATTCTTGCTTTTCCTCTTTGCTTCAACAGTTTCCACAAAAGGAAACATGCCTACTTTCCCATCCCAAAGTACTTGTCCATCATCTGAAATTATCGGTCTTCCAACCACACCGAGAAACATTATTTTTGTGATAAATCTCTTAGATTGACAAGTCCTATAGTGTTCTGCTTCCTCTAGGGTCAAGTAGTATTTTTGGGATGTCTTTGTCAAAAAAACCATTTTTCATCAATATGTAACACATTTTTAAAACTCTTAAACGTTGGGTTTGACGGAATACTAGATCCTCTACTTGCTCCAAACAAAACAGCAACCTTTGTCTCTTATTTGCCTCATTCAGTGAGGGCTTAATTGCATTACTATGACTTCGAAGAATACCTCGTTTCACCCAATTATGAATTGTAGACTTGCACAAACCCGCGGCAGAGGCTAGTGACCTTATTGTGGTTCTCCTTCGCAGTGGGATGTCTGCAATTGTATCCAAATCTGCTGCAAGTCTTTTCCTCCCAACTCTTCCTGCCATTTTGTTACTTACATCTATGCAATGTCCACCTTGTAGTTGTGTCTTAGCTTTTGACCACAACTTCGAAACAGTTCTACTAACTTGGAACTCAGCAGCAACTTCATTCACAGCACCTCTCTGAGCAGTTTTTGTCCCCATGAAATTTATTTGTGCATGTAGCAACAAGTAGTCTATTATTCCCTGCCTTTCTAAGTTTGAAAGTTTTTTTGTCCTTTTCTCTTGTGTGTTTTGGGATTCTCTTTGTAGTGTTTGTGTAGGACTAGACGGATCCATTCCTGAGATTGAAATGGCAGTGGCTACAAATACAAAAAGAAAAGTGGTCTCACATGGTAGAAAGAGAAAAAAGGAGGGCCAATGTGTGTCTGGTAAAAGAAAGTTCCCAAAAGAGGAAGAAAAGAGAAAAGATATGGGAGATGTTATGCTGCTGGAAAAAATAGAACTGCCACAGGAAGAAAAGAGAGAATAAAGACTTTGGAAGCTTTCTAAAAAGGGAATGGCAGTACTCCAGGAGTATTAATAGCTGGTGAAAATGTAATGGGAGGGGAAATTTTTTGTTTTTGGAGGGGAGGGGGAATTTGAATTTTTGACAAAATTTGGCATTTGGAATGCCATGTAACCTTGTGTACTTGTTGGGATTTTTTTACTCCGTATGTTTTTGTGGTTGTGATTTGGAGTAGTAGTTTAACTTTATGTACTTTTTGGGATATTTTAAGTTTTTAGTCATTATCAATCAAATCATCACTATTCTTACTTTATTCACTTTTTTATTTCTTATCACTTTATTTTAATTTAAAGAAGGGCAAATTTGGAAAGTCAAGGAAATTTTTACACTTCCTTAAAGTGCGTGCCCGGTCAAACCGGGAACTTTAAGAGTACTGGACACACACACTACAGAGGTGCACACACATAGGCAGAATATAGCACAAGTGCCAAATTTCACACAAGAAATAAGAAACCTCATCACAGCTTGCTCAGATTTTTCATCACAACTTGCTCAGAGGTAATCGAGAAGGGGTAAGATACAACAGAAGTGCACAATTTAACAACATACTCCAGAGTAAACAACAACACTTCATCGGAGCATGCTCAGAACAACAACACATGTTAAGACAAGCAGTAAATTGGGAAAACATATTCATACTTGGGTGAATCCCAGCCTGGGAACATAAGCTTTAGGAAGCTGTCACATGCATGATTTCTAACACACACAAACCCAGAGCTTGGGGCCATCAAAGCTTCAGATGGTTCGTCTTCTTCCTCGGAATCAGGCACCACGGCTGCCACAATCTCACCTTCATCGCCATGGCAATTTGGGGAAAGTTGCTCGATCTCCTGATTCCCATCACTGGCGCAGACGATAGGAGTGTCTGAGACTACAGAAACAAGAGGATAATCTTCAGACTCCATACGAATTGGGTACAGGAGAGAGCAACTTAAGAGTTGGGAGGACGAAGATCAGAGATCCAAGATCTGGATCTAAGAGAATGAACGAGAGAAAAATGAATGAGCTGGTTGGAGGAGAAAACGAGACGTTGAAGAAGAGAGGAGATAACGAGGAGATAAAATAATGAGTGGATGTGAGTGGGTGGGGTTTAATGTGGGAGGTTGAATTAATTAAGGTGGGTAGTGGGGTATGTGATGTGAGTGAAAGTGAGAGGGGTATAAAAGACTTTTCACTTTAGATCTATTGCCTAAAATAGAAATGGGAACATTAATTGTGGACATCCCAAAAAGAAAATTGGGAACTTTATTGTTGGACGGAGGGAGTATATTCTTTCTGTCTCTAAAAAATTGTCACAATTTAACTTTTTGGTCAAACTGTGACACCATTAACCACAGATTAAATATAGTTTAAAATAATTAAATATTATAATATGTAGTGAGTGCAGTCAGCGCAGATGTGGCTTCTAATTTAGAGTCCGTGGTGATGGAGCACTATAGATAGTTTAATAATATACTTCCTCTGTCCCTAAAATATTGCCAGTGATGGTGTAAATTACCAACCGGGTAAACAGTACGAGAGTGGGTTAAGGGTTGTTCTACTGGATTCAAGAAAGCGAAATGTAGTAAACACAGATATTAGCCGGGAGGACTAGAGGTGGAAATACTTGTAGTCCATTTGTTATTAAAATATAGTAGAATGCACGATAGGTATTACACAAGCGGTTTTAGAGAGAAGAATTCAGATCCCTTCCCTTTGAGGATTACACATGTATTTATAAGAAAATGGAGGAGACAGAGCGCCGCGCGTCCACGTCGACCCATGTTCTCTGATGGCGTCAGGTGGCTTCACTTTTGTCTCGTAGTATTTTGTCTCATTCCCTTTTCATTTTGTGCTGGTGACTCCTCTTCTAGCGCGTAGCGCGCAACTAAGATTGAGGAAATATTTCCCCAATCTCTCGTTGAAAATCGATCACTATCGTCCAAACGACTTTGGAGTTATTCGTGTTGACACTTTTACACCATAGTAACCTACCTGGTAGGTTTATCTTTTATGTTTTGAAGGGTCAAAAGTCCGCCAGCTCGAAGTCATATACTCTGCCCGGTGGATTTATATATGGTATGGGTCAGCTTTTCCGACCTTGACCGGTGGCCTATATTTAATTTAGATCTTCCATGTTGTCATGTCTGCAACTTTACTGGTTACTTTATGCTTACCCAGTTTTGGACCGGGTCCTGGGTGGAATACACCCACCAGCTAGAGTTTGACCTTTTTTATCAAATTGTGACACATGCTGATCATAAATTAACTAAAATAATTAAATATTGTAGAGTTTGATATTTCAAAATTATATTTTAAAATAATCAAATCTTACTAAATTTACATTATAACTAAATGCACATTTTCCATAATTTGTGATCAAGAAGTGCTATAATTTGTTGAAAAAAAAGTAAAAGTGTGATAATCTTTTAAGTAGGAGGTACTAATAAAATAAGGTGTATTTATTTGATTATTTGAGAGAGAAGAGAATAATAGGGACATGGAAAAGGTAAGAAAATGCCCTCATGCTCGCTCTTTTACATTGTCAACGCAGAAGAAAAAAATAAAAGAAGGCACAAATATTCGCTACAATGATGAAAAGTGGCCTTTGGTGAAGCTTCCCCGCCCCAAATTCCCTCCCTTTTTATATCTCTTCCCTTCCATTCCACATCCCCACCTCAATTACTCCATTGCCTCTTCTTCTCCTTCCTTAATTTCCAACTGATTGGCATAAGCAGAAATGGCTTCAAGGATGAATTTGAAGAGGAAATTTCAAGAATCCTCTGCTTTTCCCTTGGACGAGCTTAACCAAGACATCCTTGAAACTGTTCTTTCTCGGCTACCCACCTCCTCCTTCGGCCGCCTCGCCACCGTCTGCAAGCGGTGGAAGTCGGTGGCCCAGTCTCCCACTTTCCGTCGCTCCTGCTCGGAGGTCCCTTCTCGAGACCCCTGGTTTTACATGGTTGATTCCCAGCTTCCCGGTTCCTCCGGCGTCCCGCCGGTGGTGTACGACTCGTCGGAGGAGAATTGGAAGTACATCGGCGTTCCTTCTTTTCTCCCGAAAATGGAGGGGGACGGGGATTCTTGCTCCTATTTCGTACCGGTTGCCGCTTCCGGCGGGCTCCTCTGCTTCTTTAGCGAGTCGGACGGGTTCGTGGTTTCGAATCCCGTCACTGGATTGTATCGGGGGATTCCCTCGCCGGATTCCGATTTCCAACAGTCCCCTCTCCGGGCCGTCGCTATGGCATCTACTCCGACAGCCTACAAGCTGGTATTAATCTCCGGCGAATTCCCGGAGCTCTATTTCAGGGTTTATGATTCCGGCGAGGGCGGATGGGGAGAAAAAACACTTCTCCGGCGGAAAACCGGCGACTGTGCCGGGAAATCCAACGCAGATGAAGATCTCGAGGAATACCCACTCTATATCTTGAGCAAATGCGGCAATTTATTGTTATCGGAGTTGCAGAGGAGCCCCTGCAAGCAATACTCATCAGCCATTTCTTCGAAATCCGGCAAAGAAACTGTCTTCTTCCTCAGTCCCTCCGGGACGGTGGTGGCCTGCGACCTCGCCGGGAAGTGTTTTGTGGAGTACCCGAGACTTCTTCCGCTCCACCACGACTATTCGATCGACTTAGTGGAGTGCGCCGGCGAGGTGTTCGCCGTCGTGCTGTCGGAGTACCTGGAGAGCGCAAGCCTGAGAGTGTGGAGATTCAACGAGGAGAAGACACGGGATTGGGAGCAGGTAGTGGCGATGCCGCCGGCGATTTCGCACGAGTTTTACCGGAAGACGGTAGACGTGAACTGCGCCGGCGCCGGTGGACGGATTTTTGTCTGCGCTTCTTGTCCGGAGTTCTGCAGATACTTCATCTGCAACATCGAAGGGAATGAATGGTTTGAAGTGCCAAGCAGAGGGAATGCATTTAGCTGTGCACTTTCATTTCAGCCCAGAATTGAAGCTTCCACATGAAAAAACCAAGAAAATAGAAATCAAACAATTGTGTTTGCTTTGAAATACGGAGTATACTTTTGTTTCTTTTGTAACTATGCACACATTAAACCATTTATATTTCCAAATATGTTTAAATAAAATTATAGATTGATACTCCATCAATCCAAAATGAATTACCCATTTGGATGTGTAAAATTTCGTGACTTTTTAAAATGATTTTATTTATAAATTAGTATTGAAAAAAATTTAAAATTACAGAGTATCTATATAAAATTTATATTAACAGTTTTACAAAACAAAAACTGATAAGAATATTTTATTTTCTCAAATGATCCATGAAAAAATACAAACAAATAAAAGTTATCGAAAGACCATAATAATGAAGAGGTTAATCATTTTGGGAAAGAAATATTATAAGAACGGGCTAGATATATTTTTGGTCCTTGCAATATAGGGAGTATGTGACTTTTATTTTTGATCTCTATAAAATATTTTTAATTAAATCATCCTAGCCAAAAATTAGTTTGCAAATGGTGCTACACATAATTAACACTTTTATTAAATTGAGATGAGTAGATGACACACCTTTTTCTTAACACCATCATAATCATGCATCTCTTATTAACTCAATCGTAAGTGTTAATTATGTCTTTCATCAACTGACATTATCAATTTCCTGTTCATCTCTTTGTTATCCGTTCTCTCTTTCTTTCTTAAATCTCTAAAATTGGAGAAAAATTACACGCAATCCTCTAATGATTAGGACTTGTTAGAATTCATGTCATTCATCACATTTTACAAACTACGTATTAGATCAATGATGAATTTATGAGCACATGCATGAAGCAAATATGAATGTGCTTAAACTATGCAACTGATTTTTTTTTGAAAAGATATAAACGATACCAATGCTAAATCAGTAAATGAAAAACACACTCAGGAGAGATGAAACCCATGTCAATGACTGAGTGGCCGCCTTACGAGACAAGCATATAGGCAATACAATTAGCCTCCCAGTGTAGGTGGGAAAACAAAGCAAAATGAAACTCAACTAATAGCGTCTTACAACTATTGCATCAATAATGTTCCCCATATACGAGAGAAGTTGCAATCTCCCCTCTTGGAGTGCTTCTACGACATGGCTACAATATGACAATAGCTCCACATCTCGAACCCCATTCGCCTTCGCCCAAATGAGCGCTTCTCTACATGCCATACCTTTCGTTAGTTACAGGTCTGCTGGACAATGCATTCTCCATTTGAGCAAACCACAAAGATCCCATCTAGGGAACAAAATAACACAAACGAACGTCCCCTCTCCAGAGCCCGACAAAAGAACATGCCCTCAGCAACAAAATAGCGACCGTCGTGCCTCATCCTGAATATGAGTTTGACTAGTAAGCATGCTGCAAGAAACTTTGGGTAGCTTATCATGAATCGGTTCTCAAACCTTTCTAACCACAAGCAGGGGTACGGGAATGACATGGTCCCACATCGCTTTGTTTCTCGCCTTCTTGATCGCCTAAATAGCATTGGATATGACCTTTGGATCTTGTAAAGAAGCTTTGGAAAATAAATGCTCCATCCTCTCCAAGAAAGATGTTGTCGAAGCAGTCCAATTCCTCCAACCCATAAACTGCCACACATCAACGCCATTGGGCCTTCAAGATGCTCTCTTGATTCTCAAGACTACCATAAATATCTCAAGTCGACCTGTGCATCCTTCAAAAGCAACTCAAAATTAGCCTAGAACATGTTTCTAATAGCTCGCCAAAGGCAAACTCTAATCTGGAAGGCCACCAAATTCTGCCAAATCCTTCCCGATTGAGTGAATCCCGGGACCCTACGATATCCCTCCTTGACAGAGTACTTGCCATGTTTATCTCCAACATAGTTTAAATGATCTTCACTCCCTATTTGAATCGGCACTCTCAAAAACAGCTCAGTATCTCTTAAATTACACAAAGCTTGCACTGCCTCCACATTCTAGCCACCTATGTCATGTTTCAATAAAAAAATTACTCCTTTCGTCAAATTTTATTCGCTTGCTTTCCCTATTTTTGTTAGCTATTTGAGAAAATAATATGGTTTTGCCAACACTAGTTTTGTAGATCTTTTGATATGATTTTTAATATATAATTTTTATTTTTTAATTCTACACCATTTTTCATATAAAATAATATGAAAATAACATCAGTCAAATATCGTAAATTGAAATAAGTAATTTAAAATAGGACGGATGGAGTAGTAGTTATATAGAAACGGAAGACGATCCGTTATGATGAAGGGTTGGTCTCTATCAAGTAACTAGGGATCTCCCTACACTAGATTAGAAACTCCATTTTCAACCCTCCTCCGTGCTCCCCAACAATAACTTGGCGAACTTCTTAATGGTGCTGCCAAAAAAAGTTGGTTTAGGGAAGTATTGAGCCTTAAAACTCTTGAGACCAAAGCTTCCGATTAAGTTAAAGATCGTCAGCCTTGCTTGCCCAACACATGGCCATATTAATCTCTCGAATTTGCTTGAAACCCAAGTCTCCAAACTTCTCTCGGAGCAAAAGTCATTGCCAAGACAAAGTATCTCGATCCTTTGGCACGTGGACTTGAGCGATAAAAACACGCTCATAGCAAATCGAGGCATCGACTTAGCAACCGTCTTCTGAAGAAGCTCCTTTCTTTGTTTTAATAACTTGCCCCCCCAACCTCCAATCTTGTGACAAATCTTTTCTGAAATGTAATAAAAATCCCTACCTATGAATGAAGGAAGTCCCAAATACTTTCCAAAATTATCCACCTAGGCAACCTCGAAATAAACTAGTGACTCGTGGTCAGACTATAGCAAATGCTAGATTTACTGAAATTTACCGTTTGACTAGAAATGAGCAAATGCTATACAAGACACCGCTAGACTTCACTGCTTCCCCACTTCAGATGCCTTAAAGAATAAACTGTTGTGCGAAAAATAAAGACCCTCCTTCGCACACGATATAAATAGATGCCCAGTTTAGAACGTGGATTGGATCTGAGATAATTAAGAATGAACACTAAGATGTTAAGCAGGAAAGAGGTGTGCCGTATCAACTAATTAAAAATGCTAATTACATTTTAAGCCGTCAAGTCTTCTATTTTACAAGAACCTAAACAAATTTAACAATATAAAAATCTATATCAAAACGAATAGCAAAATCTATATCATACTCCATATACCTTTTTAGATGAAATTATCTTACATAGGGCTTAATAATTCTCCATTTACCCATATAGAACTGTAATTCTTTTTGAAAAAAAGAGTCACAATAGGAATAAAGGAGTTCTAATATGGGGAAAAAAAGAGTAAACCATAAATAACTAAATTCACTTAGCCAATTGGATATCATGGTTTAAACTAAACTCACTAATTTGCTGCTTTAAAATCTCTGCCAAGTCATCAAGAGCGAGAGAGGTAGGCGGCGGTGGGTTATAGAGTTGAAGGAGGAAAGTTGACAAAGGTAAAGGGTGTCGACAGTGGTGGACAGATGAAAGAGGAGTAAGGCAGTGTGGAGGGGCATTATAAGAAAGTCCACACCATACATAAATATTCTTCTTGGTAAGGCCCTTATCTCACTCGCCGACTCCTAGGCTAGAACCAATGCTTGCACCATCCTTTTCAGCCCTTAATTCCACCTCTCCATCTATTTCATTATCCACCTCACCCTGTTCCTCATCGGCATCCATAATGAACTTTCATACTGAATGTTTTCCTATCCTAAAGCTACACTTTGAAAATAATGTGAACAAATCAAACAGGATATATGAGGGGTGGGAGTGGGGTTATGCTGGGGAGAGGGCATTGCACAGTGAGTTGTATGCTGCAACACAACACTTGAATTTCTCTTCTGCTGCTGCCTGCACATATGTTTGGACTAGATTTATGTATGACTGAAGAAAGAAAGAAACAAAGAAAGAAGACTCCCTTGATATGATGCAATACTACACAAACTAACCTGTGAAGGACCTTGGTGCTTATCAGGATGCCACTTCAAAGCTGAGAGTCGAAAACTACAACAAGAAACCACCTTCACAAATTTCAGATTGATCTTTACACACACACACACACACAAGGTTTTTAAGAACTTACGCATTCTTGACTTCCTCGATCTTCAATGGGCCCCTGACGGGAAGACCAAGGATTGATCTTTCGGAGTATGATCCTACAATATAAGACTCACTATGGTTGTGATTGGGGTCAGATCTATTGTGCTTATTTTGCTGTCTGCCATTCCATTCAGTTTCTTCTTCATGGTGAATTCGAGTTCGTTTACTTTCATACAAAAATTCCTTCCAAGGCTTAAAGGACCAGGTGTATGATTTTTCACCAAAGGTTGCTTGAAATATTTTCTCTGGATGTTCATCTTCATAATCTTCTTCATTTAACCAGTGTTTCTTTAGTTTACCTAAACATGTGCAAATTTGGTGCCAAGAATGACTGAGAACTTGTCAGGAGACAAATACTTAGCTTCAATAACTCAATCTAATATTAGAGTACATGCAAAACACAAAGGGTTGCATCCAGGAAGGTATTTGTTAAAATGGTGGACCTTGCAGAAAAATAGATACATATTCTTTTTTCATTTTAAACATTAAGAAAAAATCTTGCACCTAAGGTTCTTCATTTGAGAATTAATAATTCTTAGCCATGTTCCTATAAGTTAATAAAAGGCACATAGATAATGAGTGCGAAAAAAAGCTGGACAAGGAGCTATTTGTGAAAAAACCATAAAAAGTTTGCAAAATGAAAACTTACGTTGCCTTCTCCTCAAGCGAGTTCTACTACGAGCTGAAGTCTTGAGTTTACATTTCTTGTCAAAAGGGTCATCATCCTCTATATCCCATTTCACATGCTCCTCGTGAAATTTTCCCTAAGAAAATTGAAAGGGTAAAATAAGTATTTTCCTTTACACATTACTCCCTCCATCCCAAAAAACCTTTCTACTTTCACTTTTCATCAGTCTCAAAACACACTTCTACTTTCAATTAAAATCACCCTTTTACCCCTACTAATTTTGAACCTACTTATCACATTATCTCCCTATTTACAACAACAAGGAAAATTGTTGCCGCCCAAATGAACAATAACCATCCTGTCAGTATTCCTGCCAGTTGCAACCGTAGCCTATTATTTAGCCCATTTGCTTTCCGCGTCTTCTCTTTTCTCTGCGCTGATTATCAACTCATCATCTATCATTAGGAGCTGCTACAAACGAAGCAGATAGATGAAGGCGGCTATGGGGCGGCACAAAAGCATCTGGTCGGTTGAAGAGTTGCAGCGGATTTGGCTTCTGATCGGATGGCGGTTGTGCAAGACTGTGGACGGCTTCGATACTCGACGATGACTTCGGATTTGAATTGAATTGATCTTACTGTGGTTTTCTACCTTGCTTTTGATTTGGCAGTGTTGGCCTTGGTTTGTTTGGGGATGCCGGAATTTGATGTGCTTTCTCACTTGGGTCTCAAATGTTACTCTTTACATTTCAACCCAAAAAATCGTACCTTCTTTCTTCTTTTCTAGTGGAATTTAAGTTAAATTCCCTCATTATTTTTTCCCACGTACCAAACAAGATGTGTCTTAAGTAAATATAGCATATGCAAAGGGATGTGACATATACAATGGTATGAATCACTGAAAGTAAATAAAAGAATTCATTATTTATTAAATAAAGAGGCAATACAAAAAACCAAACAAAAATGGATAACCACACATAAAAAACCATGTTATATACAAAGCATTGAGCAAACCATGGTGGTAAAGCAACACATAACAGATGATATTGAGTGTTAACCCCAACCAACTGTAACATGCCTATATTGTGAGAAGCCAAACACAACAATAGCAACAATAACCACGCCTTGATTCCAAATCAATGGGGTCAACTAAATGAACAGATAGCAAATCCAAGAAAGCTTAAAAACAAACATTTACCTCAAGATAGTTATCGAGGGAACCACCATAAAAGAGCAAATCTTTCAAAGCTTTTTTTGACTCTGCACGTTTTTGACGTACTGCATATCTNCCCCCCCCCCCCCCACCACCCCAAAAAAATCAGTTGTCATTTTATAAGGTTAAATATGTTGAATAGCTAAGAGCGATGACACAGCTATTCAAGATAGGCGAACAAATGGTAGGCAAGAAAAATTATAGGCAATATAATGTTTTCTGCCAAATTGTATAGTTCCTTAGCCAGAATAGGAAAAAAAGAAGGTATACTTCATAGTTCATACATAGTAGTACTCCCTCCGTCCCTAAATCTCCTTATTTGGACTATTTTGGGATTTAAGGAAAAGGATATTTTTGTATTGACTTTCTCAAATTAACCTTGATGTGATGAGTAAAAGTAGGACGTGATGGGTAAATTATAAGTGAATAGGTATGATGTGATAGGTAGGGTAAGAAATAGAAGGGATAAAAGTGATTTTTTAATAGAAAGGAGAGGAATTTTGGGACAGAGAAAAAAAGGAGAAAGACTTTTAGGGACGGAGGGTTTATTTGTTAAGAATGTTATTTGGCACTAAGAAATAGGTGCACAAAATTGACAAAAGGGATAAAAAAAATCAAGGAAGGTTAACAACGACAAGGTACATGAGTAACTTGAACTTTTAGAAGATCCTCCTTTTCAAAGTTGGAGCTTCTTCAGAAGTATGCATTTTATGTGTGTTTGGCATTATAACTGTTTTATTGGAATAGGTTGAATCAAGCATTCAAACAAACATTAGAATCAGATTGAGAAACACTACTACATAATCAATGGTAATTAATTTATGCAAGTGTAAAATGGACGAAAGGAATATGTGGTCAATAAAGATCAATATATGTACTTTGTTTGCCTTTGGCGGTTGTTGGCTTCCTCTAAAATCCTGCAAAGATATCATTTCGCCAACTTTCAGTAAGGGTACATAATTTTTATTCTTAAAACCAACAAAAAAACTTATAACTAAGAATTGGTTACATTCCATGATGGATCCCACTTCCCATTGGGATTCAATAAAGTGATGGGAAGTACGAACAATAAGGGATTAATTTTTATGGGAAGATGAATTACAAACCAATAAGAAAAACAAACACAAAAACAGAATTTGAGAGATATGCAAAATAATCAAATGTCTCACTCAAGAAGGAAGCAACATGATATTCACTTATTTACATTGTTTGAAACAAGCATAAATTTTACTCTGCCAGAACACATGATGAACCTAGATATACACACTAGTTTCACATTGCAAGAAGTGACATTATGGCACCAGAACTGATATATGAATAAGGTCAAAAGAACATGAAGTTTCACTTTCATTCGCCATTATTGAAACTATACACACAGAATTAAAAGCAGTAGGTTCCTCAGATTTGTATAATTTATCATTGTTATAGCTGATGTGGACTACTACTAAGTAACCGAGATAATAATTAGTTAGTCAGTTAGCTGTTAGTTAGTGTCTTTGTTGTATAAATGATACACAATGTAGAGATGGAAACTTCTGAATGAATACAACTGAATTTCCTCATTTCTCACTCTTGTTTTTTCTCTTCCTAATCTTCCTGTTTCTCTAGTTCGTCTTCTTCCTTGAGACAGAAAACAGTTTTCTCACTGCTCTAATTAGCAAGATCATCTTTCTACATCATTGGTATCAATTATCAAAGCAATCGTTCCTGTTCAATCAAGATCAGCATCGGAACGCACCAGCGCAACCATGGGCTTAATTGAAAGCCATTGAACGGAGATTTACATCTTTACTGGTATGGATAAGAAAATAAATGCTCAAGATCAAAAGCTAGGTCAAATGATGATGATATTAAAAAAAATGAAAGTAATTTCAGCAAATACACACCAATCCAATATGAAAATAACATTCATAAGTAACTCATCAAAACCTCCACTGCTACCTACTCCTCAAATCAAGCCTACCAACTTACAAAGACTCAATTCCTCAAGTCACACTACATCCAATAAATACATATCTGCAGATATGGGGGCAGAAAAGATAGACAAAGGGTTGTGCTACTGCTGTGACAAACCCTTTGAGAGAGGCCACAAATGCAGTTTCAGAGAGCAGCAATCATATACTGTCGAAATACCTGCAGAGGAGGAATTCTTAGATGATCAGGAGCATGTGAGTACTTGATACAATCACAGCTATTGAAGGGTTTGATGCTTGCATTTCTGTACAAGTATTGACTGGAGGACATAGCTATCAAACCACGAGAGATATGGGCATGGTAAACAGGAGGCCTATTCACATACATAGTTGTCACGGCGCCAAGGCAAAGCGCGGCACCAGTGTACCATCATGACGCCTGGATGATTAGGCGACCACCTACAAGATAATTAGGTGACCTAGGCGGCAACACACAAGAAATGAGGATTGGTATACATTAGTAACACTAAGGGCCTATTCTTTTCGGTTGGAATTCTAAGGTTGGATGTTAGAAGAAACTGGAAAGAGTTGAAAAAATTGGAAGGGTTGAAAAAATTAAAGTGTTAAAAAATTACTCAATTAAATGATCACCCAAATAAATATGTAAGGGAACTCTAATTTTGGATAAAAATAAATTCATCCTAGTCCGTATTTGAGGTGGACAGGTGGTATGTTATAAATTTGAATATATAATGTTATTGTATATTTATCATATACAAATACTTTTTTTAAGTCTTTGTTGGAAGGAACTCGAAGGAGTTAGAAAAAGTTGGAAGTTAACTTTTCCAACCCAAAGAACATGCCCTAAGTAACACTAATATAAATATAAACAGACGTGTTCTATAAACCTAATTAAAATTTCAAATACGCATACTTAAAAAAAACTACACACACCATAGTATAAAAAAGGAAGAATATGTAATACTCCCTCCGTCCTATTATTAACTTCCCGGTTTGACCGGAGGTGATTTTTAAGAAAGTGTTAAAATTGCATTGACTTTCCCAAAATGCCCCTTATCCTCCATATTCACATTCTCAATCACAGAGACCTGAGATCTCTTCTCTCCCTCGCTAAGATCAAGCACATACACAATGCAAACGAAAGGATTCATCGCCCTTTAAACATCACAAAATTAAAGTCTCTTGAAAAATGAATGTTGAAACGAATAATTCGAATCAGGGTGCCCAATTTGAAGATTCTTCACACAAAACACAAATACGTACAAAAAAAGAAAATATGAACTCTGGTCGCTGACTCCATGGGAGTCGAAATCGTCATTGTTGGCATCGATTTAGATCTGAGATATGATTGCTCTCAACATGTAGCAGCTAGATCTGCGTTGCAAATCTCATCCCGGAAGCTTTGCTTGGGCCACTGTTGAATCGCACGTGTCTAAATCTGTGAACTCCTCAGACGACAATGGAGTCAGGGATGAAGATGTGGCGACCATTGATTCCGGGATGGAGCTTTGGTCTATGACCATAACGATGTATAGAGCAAAAAGGGGTGATGGTGCAGACCAATTTAAACACGAAACTTTAGGAGTTGAATGAAGAGATAATATATGGCAAAGAGGTAAAATATGGAGAGACAAAGTATTGGTGCTGAAAGAGGTGTGAAACGGTGAAAGAGAGAGAGAGAGAGAGAGAGAGATAGAGTTGTTTGGGTGAGAGCGGTAATTCTGAAAGATGGAGAAGTTGGGTGGGTATATTGGTTAGGGGTATTAATGTCATTTGCTGAATAAAAACTTTCCATTTTAAGTAATGGGAAGATGATTTTAGGACAGCCCAAAATGGAAAATGAGAAGTTAATTTTAGGACGGAGGGAGTACAAAATATGATTAAACAAACAATATACGACTTCTTAGTGCATAGTAAATACTATAACAACAAAGCTTTATCCACTAGGTGGGGTCGGCTAGTGCAAAGTATATACTATGAAAAAAAATTACTGACTAAAGGCATACAGGATTTTCAAAAGGCGATGCCTAGTCGATTCCTTGATGCCTAGTGAATGCCTGTGTGAAGCCTAGGCGAGGGAAGCGAAATAAGGCGAGGCAATACACCATGGGGAGATGATCTGACCGCCAGGATGCCTAAGCAACGCCTTGACAACTATGTTCACATACTGATTGATTCTGGAAGCACTCACAATTTCTTAAGCCTAGAGAGTGCTAGGAGCTTGGGATGTAAAATTGAGCAAGTACGCAACCAAGCAGTGACAGTAACACTTGGTAACAAAATAGCCCGTCAACACACTTCTAACCAGTTTATATGGAAAATGCAAGACAAGAAGTTTGTTACAGATGTCATGTTAATATCCCAGCACAGCTGTGATATGGTTTTAGGGATTCAGTGGCTGGAAATGACCATGAGGCTTGTCTTGGATCAGTTAGATGGAAAATCCTTTGTCCTCAAGGGGAAGGTAAATAGGAAAATGAAAGTTGTAAAGAAACTCCAACAACAAAATTATTCAATAATTCTATACAAGTTTGCTTGTTACAACTTAAGGGAGAAGAGATGGAGCAATCTCCAGGTATGATAAGGAGTTGGGAGTGCAAGGGAGTTACCAATGAAGATAAGGAATTGGAAATATTGAAAGAAGCATTTAACATGGTTTTTGAGGAACCACCAGAGTTACCTCCTCTCATAAGCGTATATGACCACAGAATACCCTTGGAGCCAAGAACAAGGCCAGTTAACACTAGGCCTTAGAGGTATCATTTGAACTTTGAAGCAAACGGATACTATTGAGCAGTTGGTACGAGAAATGTTAGAAAGATGAATCATACTACATAGTTCCAACAATTTTGTCTCTCCAGTAGTACTAGTAGGTAAAATGTATAGGACATGGAGGCTGTGTATAGACTATAGAGAATTGAACAGGAAAACAATGTTGAGGGCATGTTTCCAATTCCTATAATGAATGAATTGAGAGATGTACTTGTTGGAGTTGAGGTGTTTACTAAGCTGGACCTTGAGAGCTGGCTACCATCAATTGAGAATTCATCCAGAGGATGTTTATAAGATAGCTTTTAAAAATCACACAGGGCATTTTAAGTTCCTTATGATGCCCTTTGGACCAAATAATCCCGCTACAATCCTCCAAAGCTGGATGGATGAGCTTTTCAAACCCCTACTGAGAAACTCATGCTTGGTCATTGGATCCACTTGAGGCAAGTTTTTGAATTAATGAAGAAGCATATGTTGTACGCAAAACTGAACAAATGCACGATTGTGAGTAAGAAAGTGGAATATCTAGGTCAATTCATCTATGCCAAAATCAATGCAATTGTAAGTTGGCCAGTACATACATCACCGAAAGAGCTTAGAGGTTTCTTAGGCTTGGCTGGATAGTATAGGAAATTCATCAGAAGATATCCTATGATTAGTAAGCCCTTGACCGATTTATCAAATAAGGGAGCATTCACATGGATAGAGGGTGCTCAGGAAGCCTTAACCTCTTCGAAACTAGCCCTAACTACAGCTCCTGTTCTGGCAGTTCCGAACATCAATTTGTTGTTTGAAGACGAAATGATAGAAACTTTAGGGTCAAAATGATCTAACATCCTTTAGTATGTATCAACAGATCTTAGGGTCAAAATGATAGAAACTATCTGTATATGAAAATGAAATGCTAACATCCTTTAGCATGTATCAACAGATCTTTAGGGTCAAAATGATAGAAACTATCTGTATATGAAAATGAAATGCTGGCCATTGCGTTTGCAGTATAGAAACGGGAGCAATACTTGATAGGTAATCACTTTATTATCAAGCCTGATCAGAAAAGTCTTAAATCGCTGCTACAGCAGAAGATTTCACCCCTTTTTAACAGTCTTGGCTGTCTAAACTATTGGGGTTTGACTATGAAAGTGTGTACAAAAGTGTAAAGGAAAACATAGTTGTTAATGCTTTGATTAAAAAAAAGGGCACAAGGATCTCAGTTATTAGTTATGGCTA